AGCCCTTTTTAGCCATCAAAAGTCCGTGCGGCGGACACACGCGGGTTGAACGTGGTTGGTTGGGTGTAAACGGTGGCTTGGTGTAAAGGGTGCTGCTGCTGCTGCCGCTCTGCTGCTTGCTGCTGCTGTTTGCTGCTGCCGCTGGTTGCCGCTTTTGTAGCTGCTGCTTTGCTACTTGTTGCGGCTGACGACGCCGCTGCTACTGCTGCTTGCTGCTTGCTGCTTGCTGCTGCTGCTTGCTGCTTGCTGCCGGTGGTGCTTGCTGCCGGTGGTGCTGCTGCTGCTGCGGCTTGATGCTGCGCTGCTGCTGCGTGGTGCTGCTGGCTGGCTGCTGGTTGGTGGTTGCTGCTGGCTGCTGGCTGCAGGCGGCTGCTGCTGCTGCTGCTGCTGGCTGCTGCTTGCTACAGAGGACTTGCACTTCACCGTTACAAGTTGTCTACCCCTATTTCTAACCTAATGCACGCATAAGCGGGTGGTAAATTTACCCCCCAGGCTTGCTATAACCATACACCGGCTATTTCCTCAAAACACTCTATTCTTGATACCTTTTACCAGTGCTTATCCTACACTACGGACGCCCTAGTGTATGCACAGTCCTTGTGATGCTTACCCCTCGTTCCGGCTCAAGGCATACATAAGCGGGGGGTAGATTTACCCCCCAGATTTGCCATAACCATAAGCCGGCTATTTCCTCAAGACGCTCTACTCCTTATACCTTTTACCAGTGCTTATCCTACACTACGGACGCCCTAGTGTATGCACAGTCCTTGTGATGCCAGAAATGCCTACCCCTCTTTCCAGCACAAGGCATACATAAGCGGGAGGTAAATTTACCCCCCAGATTTGCAATAACCATACACCGGCTATTTCCTCAAGACACTCTATTCCATATACCTTTTACCCGTGCTTCTCCTACACTACGGACGCCCTAGTGTATGTACAGTCCGTATGATGTCAGAAATGCTTACCCCTCTTTCCGACTCAAGGCATACAAAAGCGGAGGGTAAATTTACCCCCCAGATGTGCCGATCACGCATCTTCGTGCCTGCCAACGAGTGCACCCGGGTTGTTCCAATGTACCCTTCCCAGTCAGCGATGTCACATTTACATTCTTTAGCGCAAAGTATGTACATAGCAACCTTCCTCCCAAAACATGTAATCCCTACATGCTTTGCCGACTATGTAACTAGTACATCCGGTGCGATTCGGCTAGCTTTCGACCTCTCCCCCTGGCCTCAAGTTTTGAATGAACCTGTGAGCATCATGCTATGGGCTTGGTGCCTGATCGACATGTCCCCAAGCCTTTCTGTCATGGCTTGAGATCCAAGGAACAACGGCAACGAAGGGGTCACCTGCGTTGGAGGAGATGAAGGCAAAAAACATGTTTCTCTTTAGTTTCTCTTATATATATAAATATAGTGGGATGGATTCGACTGTGCAGGCAGAAAAAGTGGAAACTGTGGAACCACTGGAGAGCATGTCGCCTGCTCAGAGTTCCCAAGCAGCGACTCTAAGGCTTGTTGCGTATTACTATCGCCTTTTCCATTGCATTGGCCGTCTTGCAGAGGCAGGCGAAAACGGAATCAGGCATACCTGGCGGCGAAGGCACCCATGAAGGTGTTTATTGTATGTGAGGTAATGTGAACGTAGCCTGGCTGTCATCCATTCGTGTTGTCAGGTGGCCGCGAGAAACGTCCACAAGTAGAAGAAGTGGGGGAGGACAGACATTTCTTCGAAGACAATTAATTACAGACTTCAAGCTTGCTCCATGCAGTAGATAGACCGACGAACAGATTTGCCAACCAATTATGTAACTGGCTTTGTCCTACTTTCTGATGCGCGACTTGGTTGGTGGTATTCAACTCAAGAAGAGAGACGCGACATATGCGCACATATGTAAAACAATCGAGCCACATATATGAACTGACATATGAATGACATGTTTGGCTTGTCTCCTCTGTCTCTGCGTTTCTTCCCTAGACCGTGCTCCGGCCCTAAAGTCTTTGGCGGTTTTGTGCTTCCTGAAGCGGCTGCTTTCTGATGTCCTGGACGCCGTGCAATGCTGGATCGGAAGTTGTTTCGAGTGCCAGTTTTTACGCGGCATACAGTGATTTCTGCCATCTATCTCACAGGTATGTGGTAGGCGAGACGCATACTATACTAATATCTCACGTGGTATGTGGTAGGTGAGGGGGGGTTTGCCTTGTTTGGGGAGCACTGTTGTGATGGTAGGTGTTGAGACTATGATCATCCCGAATCTTTGGCATAAACAGCGGGCCCTTGGTTGAGTGTGGCTTTGTTCAAGTGAATGCTGTACATATATATATATATACCAGCACCCTCCAACAGGCTGTTTGAAGACCCTAACAGGTGGTTGCTGGGCAATTGTTGTCACCAGGAAACACCTGTTGGAGGGTCCAGGTATATAGAATATTTTGAGTTTTCTTGTGGAGCATAAAGTTCACTCGCTGTCGCAGGAGAGCTCGCCCAAGGGCAAACCGACCGCTGGTTCAGCGTCTTCTCTCCAGAGTGTGCAATCAGAATTCGAGTCTGCGATCAAGCAGGATCGACCGCCGCGACGGCGGCTCATTTTGGCAGCCGTGAACGATGGCCTTGGGGTAAATGTGGAGTTCCAAGTGGGTGCCAGACCAAAGACGACCCTTTTAGGACACATATGCCTTCAAGCACAGCACTTGCAAGGTGAGTTGGATCTAACTCTGACAGCTTCGTTGCTTCGAGCCAAAGCTGATCCCAATCGTTTGCTTGTTGTGGACGGAGTCGAAGCACCGATTGCTACCACGCTGCTGTGCCTGGAGATCCACGACGCTCAAGCGATGGCGAGGCCGTTGGACGAGCTGTTGCTCCTGGGCCTTGGAGAAGCTGGAGCTCAGGGTGAGAAGGTTTGCCACCACCACGGACCGTCATCCGAATCTCCATGGGTCCTAGTTCTGCAAAGCACAGAACAGCTTTGGGACAAACATGTCGAGGCACTGACGAAATTCAAGGCAGACATCGATGTTCGTTTTCATTCCGGCGATGCAGTTGCAAGCGCTCTGGGACACCAGATTCTTGCCAACAAAGTGCATGGTTGCAAGACATTGCTGAAATGCCGTGCTCGACCTGATAGCTATGTCGAGCAGTCCGGGAAAGAAGAGCGGCTAGTAGCTGTGGCACTTGCAGCTGAGAAACAAGTTGCTCTTGGCATGGTGAGGCTTCTTTTGGACCGAAAGCCAGACATGCAGGCAATGATCCAGTTTGAGGGTGCATCAATGACAGTAGAAACAGCTTTGAAGAATCTGGCTGCGAAGGACAGTGACTGGCTCAACCTCGCCGCAAGGGTGCAGTTGACTCTGGATGATGAAAAGAGTGATAAGGCTCGGAAGTCAGACTCCGACGCAGACCAGAACTCAGAAGGAGGGTCTAGTCGGTCTAGTGATCAGGAAGGTGATGCCAGTGATGGCAGTGATGAAGAAGATGACGATGATGATATTGCTGATGATGCAGAGAAGTCCAGCGATGAGGGTGAAAAGATCGACGTTCCTGAAGAGATACGTGAGAACGCAGAAGTGGTCGTTGCTGAGAAGGCCAGTGACAAGAGAGTTTTCCGGGTGACGCAGCTGATCAAGTCTGAAGGAGAAGAGACTCTTGCTGAGCTCAAGGCCTTGGATGGTGGGGGCGAGCATCTTGAGAAACCCATTCCACTGTCCAAGCTCATTGCCTTGGAGCCACCCTCTGCGCATGAGAGCAGCTTCGCTGCGAACAAGGACTATGCTTTCTGGGACTTGCATCAGGGAAAGGTGCACAAGAGCATGAACGTGATTGGGGGCTCTGTGAATGTTGGGACTAGTCGCAGTGGGCGCGATCGAGTCATCGAAGTGCCCAAAGGCACCCAGCTGGAATTTGAGCCGCCTCCCCACCTGCAATATCCGAGCAGGCCTCAATACACTGCCATCATCGAGTTTCAAATGAAGCCATTTGAGGGAATCACTGCCCTCTTGCACACATCTGCAGAGTTGGGGGAAGCAGAACTGGTCGTAGAAGGATCAACGTCGGAGAGTGGAAGTCCTCAACCCACGTTGAAGCTCAGGTCCAGCGGAAGTCAAGAGACGGCCTTGTCTGCGCCCTTGTCATGGAACTCCTGGCATCGTATCGTTGTGACGCGGTCCGCTGATGGATTAGCAAGTCTGATGGTGAATGGAGAGGAGGTCCTACCGGTTTATCCCAAAGCCAATGATTCCTCTGGGGTGCAAGAAGCCATAGTGGAAGCGTCTTTGGGAACACTTCAGAGTGCCTTCCGAGTTTTTGGGTCGAAGCATGCACAGGAGTCGTCCAAAGGCTCCTCCTTGAGGTTTGTGCTCTTGTGCCGTGAGGCTTTGGGTGCATCAGCAGTGCAGATCCTTCTCAGGAAGACCAAGCAGCTGATGAAATCGATTCAACAGCAGCCACTTGTGCTGCAAGAATTGAAATTGATGAAGAAACAGGCCCATCCAATATTCTTGGACGCTTCATTCCTCGGTTGCTTTTGTGACGGCTTCACCAAAGCCGATTCGCAGCCTAAAGAAGTGGTGCAAAGCCATCGGTTGATTCTTTTCATGTTCGAGACCTTGATAAAGGAGAGTCAGATGACGAAAGGCCCGGATGTCGGGGTTCCGCTGGAATTGCTGCAGCTGACCTACGAGCACCTTGAGCGCTCCTCCAAACTCTTTGCGAAGTTTGACCAGTTGTGGGAATCATCGGACAAGAAAGAGCAAGTCCCTTTGGTCAAGAACTTTCTGAAGCTCCTGAATGAGTTGCGGCAAGCCTAGCAGAGAAGGGATCGGACTTCGGACCTTTGATCATCCCATTCGGCCTGCACAGTGTCGAAATGACTCGGCAAGACCGGCGAGAAGAGGAAGAGAGAACAGAGACACGTGGGAAACAATTCGTTTTGCTTATCTTGGAGAAGCCCGACGACACCTACCGTCTCACAGTTGTGAACCCTGGACAGGGTAGAGAGTTCCACAAGTCTTCTGTCCAGGGGCACCCTAAAGTGAAGTACCAAACAGCCATGGTTCTTGAGGGCCTTAGTCGTGAAAAGGCAGAAGACGATGCTTTTTGGCTGACTCTTTTTGCTGCCGTTCCCATAGCAGGTCCACGGTCAGCATGGCACCTCCTATACGATCTATTCCTCCCCTTCCTTTTGGGTGCAAAAGGGGGGACCAAGATGCTCGAAGATGCGCTTCTTAGCTCCCGAGATACCGATTGGCGGACTCCGCAACATGGCGGCGGATGCTGGAAAGTGATCATGCATGGAATTCGCCAACTATTGCGATCAAACTCAGTTTCGGTGGCAAATGCAAAGCTACTGCAGTGGAGGCTGCGACAACAATTCCTGCAATTGGCACTGAAAGATGTTGATGCTGCTCCACGACTCAGCCACGGTCAGAGGACATGTCTTCGCATCGCTGCTTCGCAACTTGGGCTTGCGGCTGTGAAGCTTAGTGTCCAGATGCCGGACACAGATGGATCTGGTTTTCTGAAAGAAGCCAAGCAGCTTGTCGAAAAGACCGAAGAGGCTCTAGCGGCCAAACCAGTGTTGCATTCAGGAGAGCTTCCACTTGCTGAGCTGCAGCCTAGTGCTTTGACCGCGAGAGCGCATGAGCAAACCACTGCTCATCCCAATTGGGACTATTTCATAGGGCCTCGACCCAACCCTTGGCAGTCACTCAGTGTACCTGCTCAGATCCCATTGGATTTGTTGGCTTTGAGGGAGCGGGTGGAGACGGTTGAGGAAGCGATTCATGCGCTCTACACAGCTAAGGACGTTTGTCGAACACTCTCTGGAATGCGCGAAGCTGGTCGGTGCAAGTTTGGCCACCTCCTAATCGTCAATGTTTTGCAGCAGCTTTTCACAGAAATCGTTCCTACTCCACTCGGGCCAGCATCTTCCCACAAAGATGCCATTTGGTCGTGCCACCGCGACTTCAATTCTCCGCATGAGTACCTGACCAGGCCGATGGTATCAGACTTGCAGCAATCTTTGCTCGAACTTTGTTCGCAATTTGCAGCAGCAGCCTTTAGCATTCACACTGTAAGGGTGAACAAGGCGGACAGTGACACTGATGCAGAGGTGCAGAGGGCACATCCGAGTCGAACTTTTGATTCCACCATTCTTTGCATCTTTGGGGCGATAGCTGCCTTGTCCGACCGCTTGGCGCGTATGATTCCGCAGGACCATCAGAGCGACTGGCAAGATAAAGCTCGAAAGAGCGAGGAGAGCTCCTCTGGGCTGCCGCCGGTTCCCCTGAGCCGTGTCACTCAAACACTTGTTGGCACAGAAGATTCACCCGGCTTCGCCATTTTGATTGACACCTTCGTAGCTCAGTCGGAGACGATAGAGGTAGCCATCCCTGCACTGCACATGAGCCGCTCAGCAGTCATAAATTACTTTGAGGAAGTAGCTGAATCCATGGACTTGCAGGGGGATCCAGCGCGTATCCTGTTTGATTGGGAGGATGGGAACTGGCAGATGTTTTCTTACGCTCACTATGGCACTTCAGTCTTCTGCCGAACTCTTGCGGCCTCATATTTGCCTGCAGAAAAGCTACTGACAGGGGAGGAGCCACACCTGATGGCTCATTTTCCAGACTTCAGAGCGTTCAGAGATGTTATATTTTGGTTCAAGTATGCATTGTGCACTGACCTCACAGTATTTCCGCAGGGGTCCTTTTCACCACACACAGCGAGTTTGAGATGGGAGTTTGAAGGAGGCAGATACAAAGTATCAGGCCTGTGCCAGACCTTGCTTGGAGGTGACAAGCAGGTGATACCATCTGTGGACGGTCGCCGCTGGCCAAGCAGTGCAGCAGCATCCAACCACACTCACAGCCCTGTGCAGCGGGAAGACGACTTGCTTTATATGAGGAGTTGGCTGTTGGCATTTTGAAGCTCCACCTTTGTGATGCCAGTGTTGAAAATGCTGTGTCACGCATGCATCAGTCCATATCTTCACGGAGAGCTTTCTCCACGGACATGTCACCCCTTTGAGAGTTTCTTCCCGTGTCCTATGCCTGGTTTAGCCAAAAGTGAGCAGAACATTTCTGTCCTCAAACTTTGCGATGGGTACGAAAACCACTGGCCCTCCATGCTGGTTGCTTGCTGAAGTCTGGCTTTGGGTATCCTCTCCTGACCGCCAGCACGACTACTATTCACCGGGACAACTTGACAAATGTTTAATTATTTGTTGTATTGTTCACTTTTTCTGCTGATTCTTCTTCATCCCCTTTGTAGTATGAACTGCCCCATGAGTCCCTCTTGGCCTGGTGCCGTCTTAGCATCTCGGCCCTCTTTTTTGCGGAGGCTCCCAGTCCTCATCAGACTTGGCCTTGCTGACTGTAGTGACTCTCCATCTGAAGATGACTCAAGTTGGGGGGAAACGACCGCTCCAAACAGTCGTGCCACGTGCCAACAAGAGAAAAGGCACGCTTGGGACAACCTGTCCCGCCAGTCATATCGATACAAGACCCCATTTGCTCACACTTGCCCTCACCACACTTGGAGCCACGGTTGGGGTTCCTCACGAGAATCAAGTCAAGAGTCTTCAAGATGAACAGTCGTCAGTCTATTTGACCAAATAGATCGTGCACAGTATCGCGAACGGTTCTCGGTTGATTGCTTCCCGACGGTGCCTCGCGAACTTAAATAGATATAGATATATACATATAACATATTGGATTTCGGATACGTCCATGTATGGATAGTACTGTCGCACCATTCCTAGCCAAGTTGCAGTTCTCTTCCTTGCACAGTGCGCCAGTTGCCCACCTTGTGTTCAATCTTACCGCCCTTCTCAATATTGGTTTGGCGCTCATCTTCCAACAATCCAGGGTCCACAGGACAGGGTCCTTTCTTTGCAGGGGAAACTCCTTTTCATTGTCCTTGTGGTGGCGAATCAGTTCCCTTCTATGATCAACTTCCAGTAATCCACCGCAGGATATGCAACAAATAGACAGAAACAGAATACTTTACTTTGCCCTATATAGTGAGAGCAGGAACTCTTGTCACGCTGTGCATTCATGCGTACTCAAAGCAAAGTGCTGTCCAATGTTTTGGAAGTCCATGAGCTATTGGGTTTCTTACTTCAAGTACAGGAAGCGCTGCATGTGTGCATTTTCGAGCCTGGGTGCTGCTGCTGTGTGCGCTTGGGAGCAGGGGTGCTGGCGCCGCTGTGTGCACCTGGGAACTTCCGTGTGCGCTGGAGCTTGCAGTGCTGGTGCCGCTGCAGGGTGCCACTGCCAGATGTGTGGCCGTGTGCGCTTTGGAGCTTGGGTGCTGGTGCCGCTGTAATGTGCTGCCCACGAAATGCTGGTGTAACTTGTAGAGGCCCCAGCAACAGACCTGGATCCTCACGACCGGCAAAGTTGCAGAAACAGTCGTTTGCCGTTCTCGATCCCATCGCTCTTGTGCATCCAAGGTCTATGATTGTTATTGTTGCTGAGAAGTGGTTCTCTGTCAAAGTTCGAATTAGGCCCCACATTCATTGTGCACATGTTTGGCTCGTAAGGAAGTAATCTCCTGTGATCACTTTGTTGGAGGAGGAACTCATAACAATGAGACTGGCCAGTGTTGACCCTCTCGCTGGAGGCTGCGAATCTAGAATCTAGAGCTTGGTCCTGGCACCTGTAAATTCATAGGCGAAGCTGCTGTGGAAGTCAAGGTCCTTGTCGAACATGTTGGTGGTGGAGAAACCTTGGGTTCATTTCCAATAGTTACGATGGCCCCTGCGAAACTGTTGAGAAATGCTGCTGCTGCTGCTGCTCCTTCTGCTTCATTGATCAGTTGAAGGAACAGATCAGCACTAACAGGTTGTACCAAGATCAAGTTTACGCTACGCCGCTACGCTCATTTTCCTTTGGTAATGGCTGGGAACAGTGGCCTGGCTGCTGCAAACATGACAGACTCCAGCATTGCACCGGGCGTGCTGCATCATCATGGGAATCCATTGGCCAATGTTATCTTGACAAAGGCTCCTAAGGTCGTCGGCTGTTCGGGAATTCAATTTGTTCACATAAACTGTTCTTTGGGCTCATTGGCTGGGAAAAAACGTGCAGAGCGTTAGGGTTCGCGTCATCATTCCATGATTCGATGCGCAGATTTGTCCGGTTGCAATTAAAGCTTGCGTGATACATTTGTGGTGCATGGACTTTCTCAACCGCCTCCTCTCCTGTGAGGAGACTTCCCAACTTTCAGAACATGCTCCTGGCGGGTGATGTCGAATTGCTCCTCAGTTACCTCACAGTCCCATACCTTTGCCAACCTTTGCTGCTTCGCTTCTTCTGCCGACATGACCGAGTGCTGGCGTTGCGCGACCCAGCGTTGCGGGAGATGCTGCAGGCTGCATTGTTTGAACCAGGTCGCATTGTCCTGAGCAGGAATGCCTCCGAGTGTCCCCAGCAAGTGCCAGCCACAGGAAGAGCTGAGATGGCCTTGGTTGGGTCTCCTAATGGACAGCTTTTGTTGGAGCTCACGCATTCACCACAGCCACTGCTCGAGGCTCTCGCAGAGTGCGTAAAACTGGCATTGGATGTAGCCACTTCATCAACTTCAATGACAGTCGACATAGTTTTGTTCATTTCAAGGCTTTACGCCCGAGTGATGAGTGCAGTCACATTCGTGCACCAAGTGATGAGCGGGGAGCACAGGTCCCAGCAAAGAAATTGGGAGTTCAGTTTGCCGAAAGCAGGAACTTCAAAACATCAGAATGTTGTTGGGACCCTACAGCAAGCAATGAAGGATCAACGGGATTGCGCTCTAGGGGCGCAAGGGCAAGGCCTTTTGACGTGCTTGGACAGCTGGTTGAAGGAACTTTGGCATAACATCGAGAAGAAGCCCGACCTCATGGATGAGAATGTGCAACGGATGTGTGACATCCATGCACACATTCTGCTGCTACTGCGCAGCATGCCACTTGTTGGAAGGGCGCACGCAAACCAAAAACGATCTCCTTGTCACCATGTGCAGATGCTACTTGGGTCTTACTCATTTTTGATGGCCCACCATAGCTGGAACACCGGGCTGTTGCAGATACCTGAGCCAGAGGTGATGGAGGTTCTTCAAGTGCAGAGGCGTTTCTTGCTAGAATGGCTTGACTCTTGTGATGCTAGCAGTGAGTTTGATGAAGCTTTGAATACCGTTCTGCAGCCGTATGTCATCGACGACCATGGCCATGATTTGCAAGGTAAAATGGCCTGGGGCAAGATCAATGATGATGTCTTGCAATCAATGGGATGCTATGCGCTTCATGAACGCACTGGTTCAGGATGCATCTCGCTCTTGCCTCGAAAGGGGACGTACTGGTTGGAAGTGAACCTCCAATTGTTGCAAATATCCATGAGGGACACATCAATGCAAGCTCTGGATGGAGATGTCATGAAAAGCTCTGCTTTACAAAAGGTTTTGCACCGCAAAAACCAGAAAGTGCAAAACCTGCAGGGAATCAGAGTGCTAGAATCTCAAACTGCCGTAGTGGTCGAGCTCATGTCACATGATTTGCTGGTTTCGACATGGGCCCCGATCGGTAGCCACCAGCCAGAGTTTTTGCCGAGCTGCATGGGCTATGGAGACTTGTATGACGCGAAGGGCTTGCAAGAAGGTTTGGACTGGGTTGGAGAGTTGTTCGAACCCATCAGGTTGCAGTTCTTCGATACTGACACGCCTCCGCAGTTCTTTCTCAAGAGTGATGCTGCAGCTTCGGCATCAGTGGCAATTCTGGCTGGTATCCATCCAAAGCTGCCAGGAAAGATTTGGAAAGAGGCACATATTTGCAGGAGTTTGCAGATGGTTCAAATCTTTGGGATTCGCAGCTATGGCCATCAGTTTTATCGGGTGCTGGAATATTGTTCCGACTGCCGCTTCAGCTTGCGACACATGCAGCCAAGTTCAGATGATAGAGAGTCGGTTTGGCCAGCCCTCGAGCGCTTTGCAGCTGGTGAGCCTTCGGATTTAGACTCAGACGCTGTGCATAGCTCTTCAACCACAGTGTATCGTCGCCAAATAAAAGTTGGCACCGACAACGATGAGGAAGAACGCGCTACTGGCCGCCATTGGCCTCCACAGAGGTCCGAAGATCAGTTAAACAATGAGGTCATTGAATCTTCGGATTCAGAACTAGACATCAGTGACATCAGACTGGAGACTTGTAAAGTTCAGTTTCTGGAGCCATTTAGTGTTGCTCAAGGTGTGCAGGAGGTCAACTTCAGCCTTGTGACAGAGCTCCAGCCAGACACACTCGACACTGAGTGCAAGTACAATATGGAGTTTGGAAAGCAGCCCCAAGCGCAGCGAAGCGAGTTCAATGAGGCTCGACGCTGAACGTGGAGAGGCCAAACATATATTCAATATTATTCCCTGAATATATGTTTGGAAATAGTATTGAAGTTTGAATATAACATTTCATAATATTTTATTATAGTTATGCAATGTTATGCAAAATGGTATTCATATATTCACTCTGCGCGCCTTACTCACATTGCTAGTGCACGCATGGTTCTGTCGGCCACTTCAACTCACCAAAGTAGTCCACCATTTACCAATGCGCATCATCCTCGTATGACACCTTGCGCGTTTGGGGCACGTGTCGAGGTCCATGCAAGTTGCAAAGTGGCAAATTACTTTTTTTGCAAAATTGTGGGCGTTTTATTTGCCAGAGTTGGCTGGTGTGCTTGCTGAGGTCTTCCATTCGAGAACTTGAGAAGAACACGTTCATTATGACATTAATTTGAGCTTGGCGTTGTTCTTCAGTTGCCACACACGCATGTGACCATCCAGTGCACTCTAGTCGGCCAGAACGCATCCACCAGACAAACCCATAACCTGCACCACTACTCCCAACCCAGCAAAGCCAAGCCCAATTTCCAAACCATGGCCGCGAGAAAATTTGCCGGGAAAGCCGGAGCGACATCCGGAGCTACACTTTGGGTGGCCGTGGCTTTCTTCCAACTGACCAATTTGGTGCTTATAGACCTCCTTCCAGTGGAACCCAGTTGCATCATGGCATCATTGTTTGGAATGAAACCGTTTGTTTTTCCTCAACAAGTGCGATCAAATGCGATGATGTATAAAAAAGCGCTTTGTACCCAAACCAATGCGGCTCATGCATGCAAGTCCCGATGGCAGACCAACTATGCGCCAGCAGCCATTATATATACAATGTAAATGTATATAGTTATATATATATATATTATACGCAAAGCGGTCCGTCATCGTGCTTTTATTCAGATTATGCTGGTTAAGTTGTCACGGTTATATACTGATTACGCTGGTTGCGCTGGTTACGCTGAACATGCGGGCCCATCTCCTTTCATTGCTTAATTCAGCCAGTAACGATTGTGAGTATGGGTTGAACTTCAGGTTAATTCAAACCCAAGTTTAGTCTTCATTTAACATGCGTTCTTTGACCCTTTCCATCTGAAAATCTGCGCTGGCCAGGGTGACTGGGTTGCAATAAAGAAGATGGAGGTGGCTGAAGCAAAAGAGATTGTGGGAAACTCCCCAGCTGGGTGGGCTGATCGTTTGAAACAACACCTTGGCACCATGGTGAAGGTGGTCAAGGTCACCGGCAGTGGCACGGTAAAAGTCGAAGCAGATGGTGGGTCGACTTCTTTCTGGCCAAAGTCAATGTTTGAGCCAAGCCCCGAGGACGGGGCAAGCATGGATTGTTGTGACTGCGTTCCTGAGATTCTTTTTTGACAACTGTGAATTTCGTTGCCAGAATTCAATGTTTTGACATGTTTTGACCTGACGTCTCCGGCTAGATTTTTTTCCTGCTGAGTGGTTCAGTGTCCAGGACGTGGCTTTGAAGCAAACTCCGTCAGGGAAACAGGTGTTGAGCTTCCTGGCCTATGACCGTATTTCAGGACGATTGACGTTCAGGATTCAGGGAGCTGCCGCACGCAGGACGGTTGTTGCATGCTATGTTCCTGTGAACGCCAGTGCCACCATCCTTCGTGATTTGTTCCGCCTGGCCAAAGTGGCCCAGGCGGGGTAGGGTTCCCTTCGATTTGTCGACTTGTTTAACTTGCAGTTCACACTTGGTCAATTGCCTCTTTCCCACTTGGCAGGTTACAGGTCTGGAGGATGCTGCTCCCATGCTTCGAGAATCGTGCATCAGCTTGTCTCAGTTGACGGGCCAAGGTGAGTTGTTTTTGCCCAAAGAGTTCCTGCTTGGGGTGCTGCCTGAATGCTTGTTAGAAGTCTACCACTTCTATCAGGACATGGCAGACAGTTCAACCCTACGTGGCTATCCCCTCAACCAGAACGACGAGGAAGAATCATTCGCCAACATTGACCATTGGCTGTTTGTCAGACTTGTGCCACGGAATGCTGCAAAGCACACTGGGGCGAAAGGTACCCATGCCTTCGTGAGAAAGATACTGAAATCTTCGACTGGCAAGTCTTCGGGAGGGCCGAAACTGGTCGACTTGGTTTTCGCGGAACAAGACTCGCCTGGCTTCGTTGTAGGCCAGGCTTTTTCTAGGCTTGAGAACCTGTCGCACTGTTTGGCTTGGTCTGAAAGTATGCATGACTCTATGGAATCTGCCATTGATACCGTTGAGCTGCCCAGACTTCAACTGACTTTCGAAAACAAAGATGGCCAGCTTGTCTCGAAGGACTTCAAGGGAATGCGTGTGGTCACCCAAACCCCGACTGGAGTGTCACGATTGATGAGAGGGCTGCCTCACAGCCTTCCCCTCCAAGATCGGAATGACAACTACCACATTTTGGTGCCTTTCGTTCTAACCCACCGACCAGACATCGGGCCGGACCCGTTTTCGTGCGAACTGGTGTTGGAGCGGGGGAACGAGCTTTGGTCAACCCACAGCATCAAGGTGTTTCTGTACGAAGTTCACTTGTCACAGACTTTCCTATACACACCAACCCCAACAGCCGCGCTTTATTTGTTGTTGCTGAAATTCCAGCACAGGCTGTATGATGAGGTGGTTCAGTTGGTTCCTTCAATAGCCACCGAGAGCAGATACCAAGACGAGCCTCTTCACGTGTTTTCTCACTTGGAGACTGTGGATGATCACCATCCAGATGCTTGTGCTTGTAAAGTGAAGATCGGAGTCGCCACTGGCGATGCTGGCATGCAACTGCCAATGCGGCTAGACTTGGAAATGGCACTCTATGTTCAAAAGCTTCACCACGTATCTGCCCCATGCCGTCTCACCTTGGAAGAGGAACAGCAAGCTCTTCGAATGATCGATGATCACAATGAGCGCTTGCAGATTGCCCGGGGGCTCTGGGAGTCTGTCCCGCGGAGAGATGAGGCGGAGGTGGACAACAAGCTCCTGGCTGCGTTTCAGGCTTTGCTCAGTGCAGCATCTCTGCCAATGCGTATGGAGGATGCCAGGCAACTCCTTGTTCACGTGGTCGATTGGCAAGAGTTGCCTCCAGACATGGTTGCTACGCTTTCGAACCGGCGGAGTGTGCTGGTAGCTTTCGGGAAGACAGCACCTTCACCTAAGCAGCTGTGCAAGGTTGAGCTGATCATGCCAGCTAGGGGAACTGGTCCCAAATCTTCACGCCCGGGCAGTGTGTTCCAAAGTAAAGACATCAGCTTCATGACTCGCAGCCCTGACAGCATAGCCTTCGAAATGATGCCTTTCCAGTCTCCAGATCGACGTCGGCTGAAACCCATTGACGCAATCAAAGTGACCTGTGAATCCCTTGAAAAAAGGATTATGGAGCCGGAAACGTTTTGGTTCATTTACCTGTGCCTCATCCCGGACAAAGGCGGTATTAGCGTACAACTAAGGGATGGGCAAACCTGCAGCCAGTCACACAGCTTTGGCAGTATTCTTTTCTTTGTGTCACACTTCAGCCGATCAATTGGGACGCGCCAATCACTCCTTCGTTTGATGATCAACAATCCACACTTAATGGAGACTTTCCCATCTTTGATTGCCAAGAAGGAGCGAGAGTTTCGTCGCCGAGTGTGGGATCTGAGTAGCATGTGTCGACGGCACATCTCACAGCTGTCCTGGCCGCGAAGTGTAGAGACTTTCAAGTGTTTCACTCAGAAGGTAGAGATGGTTGCTGTCCGCCCGAGTGGTACAGGTATGGACGGCGTTCGACCAGAGCTTCGCAGTGGCCCCTTGGCCAAGCAATTGGATCGTTTGGTCTACTGGCAGCCTGCAAGAGTGAGCAATGCCTTGCAGTGTGAGATCTCCCTCGTATCGCAGCTAGTGAAGTTGGAGCATTTCAGCCGGAGCCCACTGGAAGGCTTGGAAGGTGGACTGGAGAGGTTTGTGGCGAGAGTCGAGGCAGAACATGTCAAAGAAACGCTGCCATTTCAATTGGAGCACCACCGTGACATGAAGTCTCCCCTTTCACAAAAGGCTCTAAACCGGATCGCAGTTGAAATGCAGCGCTTTGCGGAGCAGCATCGTGTTGACCGAAAGCAACTCTTGCTGTGAACGCAGCTGAGGAGGGGAGACGACCAGTGCCGGACGATACATTCGACTTGAGGATTGCTCTTGAAGCCCTGCGAAGGGCTGACATGCGAGAGATTGAGAGGTTGACAAAACATGTGCTACAAGAGGCTTCCAGTCTTGATCATCCTCACCAAAGGCCAGCAGAAGAGAGCCTGAGATTTTGGTTACTCCGCTATGCTCGCCAGGAAGCAGAAGCTTGGTTCCAGTTTCTTTGTGCAGTGGTGTGCAGCAACGCAGCTACGCAAAACCTACAGCACTTGAACCCCTTCCTCACAGGCGAGCAGTGCGAAGATTTGGTGCAGAAAGCGGCAGTGCTCATGCTCCACACGGTGCGCGTGGCGCAAATCAATAGAGCTTTAGATCAGCTCCAAAGTTTGATCTCCGCCATGAAGAGCCCGGCATCCCAAGTCCATGCTGCTCGCATCAAGGAGGAAAGCTTTCTACTTTGCCGGACATTGGTGGCCGAAAGGTGTTACATGAAAGGCTGTGAAGCTGGAGCATACACTTTGGACCCTAGACTTTTGAGCTTTGAGTTCAGTGACAAAAAGTTGCTGTGGCGCCGGCAGGTGGAATTAGTTCAAGACTTCTCCAAGTCAGCCGAAGACGATGTGTCTTTGGTGAAGCAGATGATCATGGGGGCTGGAAAAACTACAGTTGTCTCCCCACTCTTGGGCATGCTATTGGCTGATGGGAAGCGGCTTGTGGTTCTCATGGTTCCAGCGCCCCTCTTGGAGTTTGCCAAGTCAGTGCTCAACTCGGTCTTTTCCAACATCGTTCTGAAGCGCACCTTCACCTTTCAGATGACCCGTAGTGATGACCTAGATGTTCGTCTCTCCAAGATGATCAGCAGACTTCGGGACAATGGAGATTTGCTGC